CTTTCCCTCAGCTTTGTGTAACATTCTAACAACGGCTAAAAAAACCGCAAATAGTAGGTTATACAGCAGAATAGTGTCAAACTTGAACTGTAGCAGCTAAAGTAACATACTTGATTTACCTCTTTATACTGGCAGTAGACAACAAAAGGCCTTGAAGGAGCAACAAATTCCAATAAAGAAAGTAATAAAGGAGTGGGATGAAACTTGCTGGCTACAATTAAGCTGCAGAAGAAATTTCAAGCGCATTAGTTTTCTGCTGCTACATCCTATTCCTCAAGTGATATTTTTCTCCTACTAAGCACAGCAATCAATTACAGCTTAAACATTGCTAACCAGCATGTTTTCATGGCTCTAACAACTCCCTAAATATTGAAAGAAAATCACGATTTCCTATTTGCATAATTAAGAGAATAAAACATTTGTTCCCTGAAGTGCAATATACTAAACATGTCGCAGAGGCACTCATTTCAGCTGTGCTGAGCTTCACAATAATTCTTATATGACCCAAGAATTTGCATGCTGCTGTCTCCATCTTAAAACCATTGTCCAAATATAACTGAAATTTTGTGACTGCTGATTGTAGCTTAAAATGCAGCCTCAGGTGTGATTCTTTAAATTGGGTAATTTTCACTTTAAATACAGCTTTATGTAAAGAAGCCTGTATTTAAAGAGAAAACAATCCCTTAATGAGCATGACTAAAAATCTTTTAGAAAGAAATTATGTCCTTGCCAGCTTAAAGGCTTCATGCTTTATTCTCCATCTCATTTTCATATAGCATAACTTGGATTTACAGATGGTTAAGATTCTCTGCCGACATCTAGAGTTTTTATTAAAAAAAAATCAGTGCTCAACTGTACTGCAAGAAATGGTTAAGATTCAGTAAGTTATTAAGTTGTACTTGCGCGGATGCAATGGACTGATTAAACTACTTCTCTCTAGTATACAATTACGATATGAAAAGATTCATCAATTAATTAACATTTGCTCTCCAGGTGAACATACAGCACTGGAAATACCACCAAACTTACCTAACAAAGGGGAAGTAAAAATTGATGTTCAATTTTCTAAACACAATGGAGATAAAGAGGTGAGATAATTATTTTACTGTTGTTTGTTTCGGTGACCTTGTAAGCTATAGATTTAACTCTAATTCCAAACTTCAAAAACTTTGTGCTCGGTAATTGACAAAGTGGATGATAAAGAAAAAAGACTCCACAGTGCTGCTCCTCCACGAGCTCTGCCAGAGAGTAGGAAGGCGAGAGAGACTGTGAAAAACGGAATTTGTTCTCTCCTACAGCAGCACATATTGCTGTCAGCAGGTAGGCTGGCCAGTCTCAAAATTAATGTAACGGGTGAGAGGGGAGAAGGAGGAAGTAGAAGGGCACAGAAGGGTAGAGAGATGGGTGGGGTCTAATTGTGAGCACCTGCAGTGTGTCTATAAACCAATTTCTGCATTCACCAGATCAGAAAAATTTAACAGTCTATCTTTAAGAAGTCTTATTTAGAAGAATAGCAAATTAATGGCTCTTTCCTCCTCAAGGACCTGTGACAGACTTCAGCCCTCATAAATGGAATTGAACAAGTAGGTCTAGTAGGATCATGGTTTTACCATGGTTTTACACAGGAGACAAATTTTATTAAAATTGCATCTCCTACGTTAAATAGTATATATTGTCAAATTCAGGACCTCAAGAATTCTCCTGAAGTTGGTGCCTGTCTTTACCTAATGACCAGTTTTTCATCACTCTGATCCTAACTCCTAATCTTTCTCCTCACCTCCAATGTTAATCAGCTCTTCCCTAGCCTTTCCCCTCTCTTGCAAAACAAAACAAAATCCTGACTTGCCTGCCTGCTTCTACTCACGGTCCAAGTCATTATTTTGAAGCATTTCTTCAGGCCATGCCAGTTTTTCCTGGCTTAGCAGTACCCGTACCCTGTGGTTCTTGATCTGAACAAATGGTGGGCTGTAACAGCAGCTGACAAAAGAAAGGTAATCCTGACTGAGCCATCTGTGAACAGTGCCTGCAGGCAACTAGAAAATTCTCTTCCCTCCCATCATGCTGAAGACTTCCTAAAGCAAGAAATCACTCATCCCTTCAGGTGTATAATTTGTCATAGCTTCCATACATTAGAAAGGACAAAAGAATTGTACAAATGATGGAAAAGAAATGAACAAGAGGCAAATACTAAACAGGCTTCCTTGAACTCAGACTTATCAATGACCAAACACACTATTTTACGATATAGGAAGAATCAAGTAAAGCCAAACATTCATTTTTGCTTTGTCGGACCACGCACAGACATTAATTGTAGTGATGGCTGCAGGAGACGGTGGTAAAACCGTAACACTACCACTATTTAGGCTTCTTACTGGACATTAACAGGCACTGCCAGTGGTGCTGCTGGTGCCAAACAGATGTGCAGTACTTGTACAAACCTCCTTTACCATTTCCTTGTTTTGGAGAACACAGAATGAGCTGTCTCTCCATCTTTACAGCAAGCACTTCTGCTACCGCTTTGCCAAGGGGCAGTTCAG